TATTTTTAAAAATATAAATGCATTATTTTATTTCTTTACTCAATATTCCTTTTTCTAGTTTTGGTGTACTGGTATGGGAGCTTTTAACAGGAGAAGTGCCTTATAGAGGTCTAGAGACATGGTCTGTGATCTATGGAATTGGTGCCAACAAGCTCAAACTACCCATTCCAAAAACTTGCCCAGTTCCTTTCAAAAAACTCATCAATGGTTAGTATTCGTATTACAATCCCAGCTTTTTTCAGCATACATTGTAACTTTTCAAAAAAGTTTAGATGAAGGACAAAAACACCACCATAGATGAAATGTGATAAAAAATGTGAACATTTATATAGATAAGATAGAAAAAGTAAAATAGCAAAACTGTTTACATTTTGTGCTGTTGTTTACCAAGTATTTGAATCTTGTTATGATTTGATTGATTAACTCTACACAAATGTTAGCAAGCAACATTGGATGATTTTTTAAAACAAATATACATCATTTTCTCCAAATGCAAAGTCCAGAACAATAAGAACAATAAGAATAGTTTTAATCTTAGACCTTTTCAGCAATTTTCTTTTATGTTCCATAAGATAGAATTTAGTCAAATGGATAATTTTTACAAATTTTGAGCTCAATTTTTCAAGTTTCCATAATACTGTGATGAAAATTTTCTGTATGTATATTCAGTGTTGTACCTTCTTAAAATAAATGTTTTAAGATGCAGTTGATGTTTAATATCAAACTTATATATCATCTAAAAGAATACCTCATAGGATATCTGACTGTATTAGCACTAGATGGCACTTGGAGTAGGAAAGCTTGCTATTTGCCACAGTGACATTGGGAATCTATAAAAGTACACTGGATCATTGTCAAGTTTGTTTTCCATTCCATTTGTCTTCATTTCCCTTGCTGATTACCTTATTATAATCTGTATTCGTACCTTGCTGTAGAGAAGTAAATGCCATTGACTTCATTATGATGAATTTGCTATTTGACTCACTTGCAGCATCCCTCTTCAGGATATTAAATATCATAACTATCCCATCTCGACTAGTATTTTATTTATTTTGTTAGTCCACAGAATTAATCAGCCTTTTAGTATTACCAGCTTCAATGGTTAATAATTTCAATATGTTTCTTTCTTTTTGGTAGAGCCTCAGTCATGTGTTAAGAATGGATTATTTGAGCAACTTGTGCTGCATCTCACAAGCAGTGTTAGATCTAGTGCGTGAAATGTTACAGAAATACACTTTCACTTGATGGAGGCCATGAGTACTACAAACTTGCCAAAAGTGCAAGATGAAAAAATTTTACAGAAAAATTGCAACATTTTTAGACCATGATATTATATAGAATTCAGATACTATCAGTTACAACCAATAAATGTAGGCATTGGCTGTATTTATAATAGTCTTAATAATCTTATAATAGTCTAATTCTTAGTGCCATTGTTTGTGCCACTACCTCTATGCTTGCACAATCATGTATTTTTGGACTAACTATTTTCTAGTCTTATCCAGGCACTGCCCTAATAAGAGTTGTTATTGCTTAGACCATATCATTTTTTGATAATTTGCCACAGCCCTGCAAGCTCCAAATGTTAGTGCAACAGCCAGCCTTTGTGATCACTTAGTTGAAAAATTGAGTCAGAAGCGAGTGACATCATTCAACGTAAACAAGGCCAGTCACCACCGACTTCCTCCCTGTGCATGGAAAACTGTTAGTTTGTTTATGTGAAAACAATTTGTTTGTTTTTTCTGGACAAATTTCATTTGATAGAACACAGTTATTCGTGAGTAAACAACTATGATTTTTCACTGTGTTTTTTATGGATATGGGAACATTCCCAAGGAAAAAAAAGTATCTTTGCACTAGTTTCCACCTAAGTCAAACAGAAAACAGCATATTGCCCAGACAAAGTTCATATCAAGAACTTGTGATACACGGAGTCCACCAAAAGCTGCCATGTATGCAGAGAACACTTTTTGGAGCCAGTCTTTAAAAATATACTACAATTTGGTATGAGATTTGCAAAAAAAAAACTGGTGCTAAAGAAAGATGCAGTGCCCAGTGTCTATGCAAAGTTCAAGAGAGATTCATCAGGCATGGCAAGCAGCAGCCAGGCTCATGCCACTGGCACATCATGCTCTTGTTCACAGACCAATAACAGGAATGATAGTCATATGTGATCAGTTGTTCAAAAACGAGAGGCATACAGTGTAAGCTCAGGTTTTAGCTAATGTTTTAAGTGCAGTATTGAATTGTCAGCAACCATTCAGATTTATAAACACACCAGTAAATCGGCTAAAACATAGCATTTTTATGAGAGTTCACTTTCAACTATTATTTACCAAAAAAAGGGCATGAGCAAACAACTGGCTGTTCTTTTCATTAATTTGTCATATATATATCACTTTTTCACTGGAGATATCAATATGCATCATAAAAAAATGCTATATCTATAATATTGATTATCGAAATATAATCCCAGCTATGTTTGCTTTTCCAGTCCTAATGTATACTTGGTCATATGCTTATAATTCAGAGCATGTGCAGAATACAGTATCAGGAGTCCATCAGTTGGTATTAGATCTACATCTAGATATAGATCAGTCACATGAAAAAACAAATATTTACTAGAATTTACTATATTATCACCCATGTGACCACACTGATGGCTGTAAATCTACTATATTATCACCCATGTGACCACACGGCTGTAAATCTACTATATTATCACCCATGTGACCACACGGCTGTAAATCTACTATATTATCACCCATGTGACCACACTGATGGCTATAAATGTACTATAGTATTACCCATGTGACCACACTGAAGGCTGTAAATGTACTATATTATTGCCTATGTGACCACACTGATGGCTGTAAATGTACTATATTATTGCCTATGTGACCACACTGATGACTATAAATGTACTATAGTATTACCCATGTGACCACACTGATGGCTGTAAATTTACTATATTATCGGCCATGTGACCACACTGATGGCTGTACATTAAGTATGTTATCAGCCATTTGACCACACAGATGGCTGTAAATAACATCCCATTTTCCTGATATTAGCAATGTGAAACAGTCTTTTAGGACATTGTAACATATAACTATTGAAACAATTCCATACCAAGAAAGATCAGACAACTGCAAGTCTTCATCCACTTCGGCCAACATGTCAACATTAGACACATTATCGTATGCAAGCTCTGGTTCAAACATATATGGTGCGATTGACACATTACATCTATCTTCCTCTTCACCTGCTGTTGCCATTTTTGTTTACCTTAGGTTTGCCTGCCCAGTTTGCCATGTGTTGCTTCTGCTAGTTTTTCTTCACATGAGTTTGAGTATTTCATGACTTTTTATAATTGTATTATTTTTAGTGCGATACAATATACACATTTAAGCACAAAAAATACCATATTTTTTGTGGTCTTTAAATAAAAATATATCAAAAACTTGGCAATTGTTAAACCTATTCTTTAATTTTGATAGCTTTGTCATATATGCAGTTTTAACTATATATTTCTTTTAATCCACTTGAACTTGCTAGTAAGTCACTTTTTAAAACTCAGGCTACTACACTAACATAGTTGAGAATATGAGAACATCAGTATTCTAATTTTTTGGTACATAATAAAACTGGGGAAAATTACTTAACATTACAAAATCTAGTATAAATCACCTTTATGTATGATACTAATTTTCATTGAATGCAATAACTATAAATATTTTTTTATATTGCTTAATGGTTGGACCATTGTTTATAAGTACAGCCTTGATAAACAAGTTTGAAAGCATCAGAATATTATCTGAATGTAATCTTGTTGTTATTGCTCTTTATGTGGTTTCCAACAGATTGCCACATTCTTGATCCTCATCAACGTTTGACATTCCCTGAAATCATTAATCAGCTGAAAAACATTTCAGTCTCAGAATTCACAGAAACTCCTCAAGACTCCTTCAACACTCTTCAGCAAGATTGGAAACAGGAGATAGAGCAAATGTTCAGAGAACAATCAAGAAAGAAAAGGTGAACTAATTGGAAATTTGTTTTATTTTAACTGTTTATTTTGTGTATTCAGATGGATGTTTAAGAGAAAATTCTGGTATCTATTGGAGTGCAGTTTTTGTTATTTTTTTCAGATAATAATAGTAATTGTTCCCAGTTATAACAACTTGGAAAATTTCTTTGAATTGCATTTAGGCAAATTCACATTATTTAAAATACATTTCTAATATAACATAAAATAAGATAAAGCTTAAAAAATATTTTGATTTTGTAATTATTACCCTGGAGGTAATACTAGATATTGTGTGTGAAATTTTATGAAAGTTAATCTTGCAAGGACTTTAAAGAAATGGTTTGACTGTAATTTAGATAAGCTGACATATTTTTACTGTTATGTGCATAGTTCGTAGTTAGATTTAATGATGTGCTATTGACATGATAGCCTCATGATAGAGCTTTTTACAATGGAAACTATCCTGCAGGACTATCATCAGATAGAGCATGATGTGCTGAAGGTGCAAAATTGTTCTAATACAACACACTGACCCTCTGTGTTAGAATGTATATATTATATATGTTCTAATATAACACACTGACCCTCTGTGTTAGAATGTATATATTATATATATGTTCTAATATAACATACTGTGGCATGAAGTGTACAACATTATTTTATTAAAGTGTAATTTAAAGAAATTTTACCAGACCATTGATTGGGTGAAGGGTTTGGGAATCACATAGATTCCTAGCATGGTCCAGAGTCATAGCCTAGGTGAGAAATATAGGGAGCTCAGGGTTGTGATAAAATAGTTTTGGAGTTGATTAGATTTTGGTACGTTGGTAGTTATTCTTAGTAATTATTGTATAAAAGCTGATTGTTATGATTTTTATTCAAAACCCAATTTTAAAATTATTTTTCAATTTTAAGAAATGTTTTAAATTAAATATTAACAAAGAGGATAAAATGGGATAAAAAAATATGGGACCATAGATTGAATTTACAGGAACACACTAAAATTTGAATGCATTTGAATCATATTTGATATTTATTTATTTCATGCTATTTTACTTTACAGAGAATAGAGTATAGGGAAGAATGCATTAGGAGACGTGTCAAAGAGTTAGAGGAGCGAGAACTGAGTGTAGTGGAGATGGAATTAAACATTATTTTATTACAGCAACAACAAGAAAAACCAACACCTAAAAAACGAAAGGGAAACTTTAAGAAATGGAAGCTTAAAAATGGAAGTCAAGAAATCAGTAGTCCATCAAGTAGGTGTTTCATTATGACTTAATATAAGCATGAAAAAAGTATCCATAATGTTTCTATGAGTCAGATGGGTTCTATATCTTTTGATTTATGAAAAGATAAAATAGTACTGTTGCTGTTGTTGTCCATCATGTACTTTATCATGTAACATATAAGAAAAGAGAAAAGTGTTAGTAATGGTATTCCTGGCCATCAAAAAGGAATTGTATCATATGACTTCTAAAAACATATAAATGGTATTCATGATGTTAATATCCATCAAGAAGGTACTGTATCATGTGACTTATGAAAACAGAAATGACAGTCATGATGATGCTTTCTATCAGGTGGGTACTGAATCGTGTGAGTATTGAAAACAGAAAAGTGTTAGTCATTATTTTACTGTCCATCAAGAAGGAAATGTATCATGTGACTTCTGAAAAAAATAGGTATTCTGGTACTACTAACCATCAGGTAGGTACTGTATCATATCACTCATGAAAAGATAAAAGTGTAGTAATAATGTTGATGTCCATCAAGGAAGTACTGTATTATATGACCTAAGAAAAAAAAATGATTGTCAGAATGTTGCTGTCCACAAGCTAGGTATTGTATCATATGGCTATAAAAACATAAAAATGTAGTGATGATATTGCTGTTCATCAAGTAGGTAGTTTTTGTTTTGTTTTTTAACCAAAAGAAAAAAAAGTTTAGTCATGATTTTACTGTCCATCAGGAAAATAATGTACCATATGACTTCTGAAAACAAAAAGTTTTCTTGATGTTACTATGTATCAGATAGGTACAGTATCATAACTATGAAAATGAAAAAGTGGTATTCATGATGTTACTATTTATCAGTTAAGTACTGTATCATAAGACATGTGAAAATAAATATGGGTCAGTATTTTACTCTCCTTTACTGAGACTTGTGAAAATAAAAATGGTGGTCATGATATTGCTGTACACTAGGTCATGACTTTACTGTCCATCAGGAAAATATACATGACTTCTGACAAGATGCAAATAATTATCATGTTGTAACTACTATACAGGTAGGTACTGTATAGTGGTCATCCCAACATTAAAATGGTTAGCTTGATATCACTGTCCATCAGGTGGATAGAAAAGTTGTAGTTGTGATTTACCTGTATATCAGGGAGTATTAAACTCCCTCATGTGGTTTATGAAAAGATAAAAGTGGTATTTTTGATGATGCTGTCCACCTGGTAGGGACTGTATCATGTGAATAATGAAAACCGAAATGGTGTCCTGATGTTTCTCTCCACAAGGAAGGGACTGTAACATGTTTTCTCTAAGCATAAAAAGGATAGCAATGATTTTACTCTCATCAAGTATGTAGGATCTGTATCATTGTCGCTTAAACAAAAGTGATGGTGACGTCTGTCAGTTAGATTCCGTATCATGAAGAATGAAAAATAAATATTTTTATCATGATTTTGCTGTCCATCAGGAAAATACAATATCATGTGACTTATGAAAGCAGAAAAGTGGTGTCATGTTGCTTTCCACAAGGAAATGACTGTAACATATGCTGTCTATAAGCATAAAAATGATTGTCATAATGTTACTATACATCAGGTAGGTAGTTACTCTTTTCATGTTACTTATGAATACAGAAAAGTGGTAGTCATGATGCTCTCCATCAGGTATGCAATGTATCGTACGATTTGTGATAACATGAAAATGATAGCACTGATTTCACTGTCCATCAAGTAGATAGGTACTGTATCATGTGTCTTATGAAAACAATTGTATTCATGATGTTGGTTGCCATTAAGTAAGTACTGTATCATGTGTAGAGCTGGGTGATTAGTGGTATTTGCTAATAAATGGGTTTGATTACAATCACTTAGTACACACATGCCTCCTACCGTCACATCCGTACAGGAAAAAAAAATGCCTGTGTGTTATTTTCTTGACTTATTTGTTTAGTATTTTACTGCTGTGGAATTTTTTTCACACAAACATGATACTTTGTTAAAGAATCATTAATGTTAGCTAAACATTACCACTATGTGGTTATGTTTCTTTTTAAATATGTAGTGGTCCTGCACTAATCTACTGTAAATATAATGATGGAGACTTTTACTATCACCATTCACCAATAAGGCTAATATTGTTTTTGTTTAAAAATAATAATGATTATATGTTCATTTAATAATATAAACATAAAAATAATACTCGATAAAGATTTCAGTCATCAGAATGTTTTGCATTTGCCTATTATTCTCACCATGTTCTCAGATATACCTGATGATCACAAAACCTTCTCCAAACATTGTACATCTGTTACTGTATTAAACCTGTGATAAAGTTTTCTTTGTTACCCATTCAAACCATTTATAAAATTCATAAGCTTACCTTATCCTAAATTATATGACCTCTTCTCATTGAAGAAAATTTCTGTAGCTTTCAAACACACAAATACTTTTACAGTTCATAAATGAAAGGAACTGAAAGGGCAGCAGCTATAAAAAAAATTAAACCTATGTATTTACTATTATGTGATAATCTAATTCTTGTTCTATCCATAGTACCCAATCATATTTAAACTTCCTTTATAGCTGTTTTTCATAGTAAATGATCAAATCACTTGATGTGATAATATAAGATTTCAACCAAAGTCCAGAGTCTTGTACAAAAATTAAAAGAAGTACTTGAAAATCCTGAAAAGGATAATATATTCTGAAGGGATGATAGGCAAAAGTAAAGTATTTCTTTGTGATGTGCTGAACAATTATAAGAGAAATCAATAATTAGATTGTTTTGTTTACTGGCAAAACTATAGGCAGCTGTGTGGAATTGACAATATTAATATTGGTTCTTCATGAATTATGCAAAATAAGTGTCAGAAAATGACATTATATAGATTCTAAAATATTTTTGTGCATAACAGGCACAATAATCTAAAATTAAGTTACTTTTTTATGCTAAACTGTGTACATGAAAATGTGTTTTCACACAAGGCAACTGCAATTTTTTTCACATTGGAAAGCAAAGGAATATGAATCAACTTGAGGTTCCAAGACCATCCAGAAAGAGACCTGCAACAAATCATATCCAAACCATGGTAAGCAGAGTGTGGCATCTTCTACAAATGACTCCTTGAACAAAAAGGTCAATAGCAAAAATGTTCCAATTGTTCCAGGCAACTGCATGCAACATAATCAAAAAAAGATCTCCATCCAGAAAAGTAACATATCACTTTGATAGCATATCCATTTTGTGGCAAGCATAATGTGGAATCTTGTACATGGAGAGAATCCTTGAACACAAAGGTCAAAAGCAAAAATGTTAAGTGTATTCCAGGCACCAGTATGTAACATAGTAAAAAAGATCTCCATCCAGAAAAGTAACACAAGTCACTGCTACAGTATATTCATTCAACTGTCACATATCTCAAGCAGCTGGAGAATAAAGTAGGTGCTCATGATATTTCTTACAAAAACATACAGACCAAGTCACTGGATACAGCACCTATCAATATCTGTGTAATCATACTATTGAAAGGGATGCTGTAGAACTCTGCTGTCTACACACACACATGAGATAGCTCATAGAAAGTTTACGAAAAAGAAGGGATGTAGTTTGAACAAGGGCCTTTGGCAGTGGATTCTACATTGCAGGGCTACTGTCAATATGCAAATTATCAGATAGAACATTGACTGAATGTAGCAACATGGACTTTAACAGTGTGGTGAGGCTTCAAAATTGTTTTAATATAGTGTACTAAACTTCATATATACAGTTTGCATATTCACAGCCAATCTTAAATTATTATGTTTAATTAAATATTTTGGAAATAAAGTTTGAAATAATTATGTTGAATTAAATGGAGATCATGAAAACAAAAAATAATAATGTTATTTTTTACAGATTTTAGGCATAAAATCACTGTAACAGCAGGACCAGATGAATTGGAGCATGTCAAAGAAATGATCTCTGGCAGTATTCCTTCATCCCCAAGTCGACCTCGTCTAAGGGCATATGCTTGTGAGTAAAGACTTGGTTATAAAATTCGAACTCTATTCTGCACGCATGTGCGGAGTGTTGAATTTTTGAACCAGTTATCACATAGATCTCTGTAGCATTGTACCACAGTGATAGAAGGTAGTCATAAAAATATAGAATTATATCTTTCTCATGCAGAAATGAAATATTGCTTAAATTCTCAGGTCTTTGCAATTTCAAAAAATCCTCTGTTGCAAGAAATTATGAAAAAATTCCATTTTCCATTGCTTAGCCCTAATAGTGTTTAATCACCAACTGTATCTCTAAACTGACTATTAACTTTGCAGACTTAAGCTGTAGAATGTGTGGTTTTGATATTGCTATAATTACCAATCACAGTCATGTGACTAAATGCGCAGCATCATTTTTAAATCTGGTAGCAAAAAGTAAATGGTATATGTGAGGAAATGTTTAAAAACAACAGAATACTATTTCATTTTTTATAATAAAGCAGTACTGGATTAAGCAAAATTAAAATACAAAGGATTATGATCAAAAGCATCAAAATCATGAACCTTAAGTTCTATTTGGTAGTGTATGATATTTGCAGCTATAATTGGCCATACTGATTATGGCATTAATGCAAAAATTATGACAGCATATATATTATTCTCAGATATACTGCTTTTACTCTAAGAGTAATTGGGTGGGATCTGCAGATTAATAAGAGGTGCAACAGGAAATATTTCATGAAACAATTCCTAATTCTCTGACTGTGACTGAGTTGTAGAAGAGAAAGAGACTGGTTGGTGGCATAAACATTTTTCTCATTAATTTGAATAATAAGAAAACATTTTTTGGAACACCTTAGAGCTAAGTTACATTTGGCAATGTATGATATGTATAGAGATATGATTTAGTCATACTGATTGTGGTATTAATGCTAAAATTATGACAGTGTAATATTCTCAGATATGCTGCTTTTTCCCTAAGAGTAATTGGGTAGAATCTGCAGATTAACAGGAGGTGCAACAGTAAATATTTCATGAACTAAATCCTAATCTCTGACTGTGGCTGAGTTGTAGAAAAGAAACAGACTGGACATAATATAAAATACAGTGAAAACAATCAGAATGAAGGACAGGATATTTCCTGGATCATTAACTTTGTGAAGACACTGTTGGAAAGGTGTGAAGAACCATTCCAGACTGAGAAATCATAGCATGATATACATGAAACAACAATGCTTTTCTTCTCAGGGAACATGTGCAACTCATGTCACTGGTCATTCCTGTCAAAAATTGAGGGATGTTGCATCATCAAGGTATCATCACCCGACTCACCAATAAAAAAGATCTGTCTACTATCATGTATGTTCAAGTTCACATAAATGTTTGCCATGAGATTAGTGAATGACCCAATATGATAGGTAACTAGGGCAATAGGAACTTAGCTTCTTCCTTGACCAACATTCCATATTAAACTACATACACTTCCATGTATGAAGATTTTTTATGTAAGATAAGGGTATGGTAAACATGTAGTAAGTTTGAATACTACAACAGTACAACATATGTACAAAACATGTGAGTTTTATTTAATAAAGAACCTTTGTATTTTTCCCTTATGTATTTTTGGTACATAATTTAGGAAATGATTTTGTTTTGCCTTATACTTTGTCAAAACATTTTTTGATTTCTCTTTTTTTTTAGGTATAATATAAATAAAAATTATATTTGAAAAATATACTTTGCAAAAAATAAATTTTCTAAATGTCTCAAACATAGTCCAATTGTACTTAAACAGCCATTAGCAGTTGTTGTAACCATTTCTCATACAGTGTTATTCAAAAGCTCACCAAGCTGGTTATTGTTAAAATCTTTACTTCAAAAATATACTAGATATGCTTCCAACTCTAAGAAATAAACTGAAATGGTTTTAGAGTTAAAGAATATTTAACCCTCTAGCACCATATGGGGTATACCTGTTGCCTGAATACAAAATTGCACCATTGAATTAAAAAATTCATAGAAAATAAAGTAATGATTGTTCTTCTATACATTATTTTTAAATCTTTCAGTGATAAAATTGTTTCAGTAAAACAAGTTTTATTAATTTAATTTTATATACAGATTTCTTAAAATCTCCAATTTAGATTTTGGTTTGATTTCAGTATACTCCTAACAAAAACGAGTTATGAACTTCCTAATCATAATATGACACTCATTGTTCTCCAGAAAATAATGCTAGTTGTTTTTTACTAAGGGTATGAAAATCACAATGGTTGTTCTATAAAGGTCACCATTCAGACATAAATCATTTTAAAAAACCATTGTGGATACTGTTTTTAACTTTAGTCTGTTAGCTGATGAGCACCATAAAATAGTAAACCTGATAACTCAAACATTTTTGAAAGGTAGATCATCCTTTTTTAAGTTAGAAATACTTTATTCAGATTACACAAAAATTTCATGATAACAATTATAAATAGACCCAAAAGTGACAAACCAATTCCTCAAATTCTTGTTACATGTGTTAAATGTTTGTTTTCATAGTACATTTGTTCATAATTAGGAGTTGTTAATTTAAATGATATAATTTCATTCTTTTTTTAAATATAAATATATTTTGGGTATCTTGAAGTAAAAAAAAACTTGCAAGAGACAGACTAAACCTCACAATGAAGGAGTACCAGAAGTCATGTACTGGGAGAAATATATTTTGCAAACCACGATAATGGTTAATAATAGAGTTCGCCCAGGAATTTCACAAAAATTCTAATAGAACATATGGGCAAACTCCATCTAAAAAACAGACTTGTTCTTGAAACAGCTTTCAACACCTTCTATCTCACTGGCTAACACTGCTAAAATACTGATTGTAGAAAAAAGTCGATTTTTCCGATTGTTAGATAAAATTCAAAGTTTATCCTTTGTTCTTCATATTATTCTTGTTTCACAAGCCTACAGAACAAACAGCCATGAATATTTTAATTCAAACCTGGGCAAACCTACTAATAAAACTCCTGTGCAGGCCATAGGACTATTTTTTTATGTTGATTCTTGAAAGAGAAGGAGAGATTTTATTGGTTTTTCATTTTTATTGGCCAAGTTTCTCTTTGAAGCCATTCACGCACCGAAGCCTACAGCAAAAATAGCTAGGTATACTGCATCAAAATTTATGCACAGCTACTAAACAAACTCCTGTGAAGGTTATAGGGCTATTTTTAAGTTGATTCTTGAAAGTTGAGATTTATGCCCTCTAAAATTTTATAAGTTCTTTGAAGCCATTTAGGCACCATTATACTAGTTGGAAATGCTCTGGTTTATACTAGTCATAAACACTTCATTTTATTACAGTAAACAATGTGTATATTTGTAACAGTGTCACCAGGCTTATTATTATAGTTTTACAAGCTGCTATATAAAAAAAATCAGCTATGAATATTTTACTGAAACCTGGACAAAAGTAATGAATGCAATATTGAGTATATCATAGGGTAGTTTTAGAATTCATTCAAGTGCCTTCATTTGTTGCCCTGAAGAATTTCTGCAAGTTCTACACTTTCCATCACTGAAAAAAAAACAACTGGTGTTTTACTAATGCACATTAATTGGAAACTGCCATGTTGAGAATTCATCATTTGTTGAGTTCCCTGTTGTACTTTTTGTCTACATGGTTTTCTGCAACTATTTTAGTGAGTTTTCTAACAGTAGATGATTACCGTAGTAATTTCTCTACTCTTGTGAGTGGTGATTTATTCTACTGATTTTCATAGCTGAAACTGTAAGTGCATATTTTACTACTATTTATATTATTGTTATTATTATTTTTGTTTCACAAACCTACAGCAAAGTCGGCTGGGTATTTTGCATCAAAACTTCGACAGATATACTATATGAAACTGCAAATGTCCATAACCTGTTTTAAAAGTTGATTTACGTGGCTATAAATACATAATGTATGCAATGTTGAGGTAAGCAGCTTCCTTTGTACTCAACACTTGTTAAATGTGTGTTTACTCAAAACCTCAGGCATAAAACCACCTGGTTGGGTAGAAAAAAAGCCAATGGAGCATTAAACTGTTGAAAAACATGTACCATTCAACTGAATGCATATGCACGTATGTAGCTTAAAATTCATTCTCCATAAATGGACATAAAATAATTAAAAATTGTTAATTTAAAAAGGGGAATAGGGATCATCAAAAAAGTAGAGAAAGAAGTTGAATCAGAATGCGATGATTATATTTACAAGCCTACAACTAGGAACTCTTAAAAAAGTAAATAAACTAGACTGGAAATAGTGTCTACATTATTTTCTCATGCTACAAATCTTTATTTGTACTTATCAATTTTAGTGGAGTCAGAATAGGGATTTGTAGATCGAGAAAATAATATAGACTATTTTCAACCTAGTTTGTTTACTTTCTTATAGTCCCTAATTGTAAGCTATAAATGTAATCTTTGCATTTTAATTCAACTTGTTTTTGTACTTTCTTGACAATCTCTATTTCCCTTTTTGAATTAACAATTTTTAATTATCTTGTCCATATAACTTTCAGTTTTTTGTTTCAGTTCAATTTGTAAACCACACACACACATAAATTCAAAATTTATCTAATAAACCATTAATGATTTGAAGACTTCTTGAATAACTTTTTTCTGTTTCAGTGTGAGTAATTATATCTGTCTTGTTATTTACATCATCATGACTTACAAAGCATTCTCACAAACACTGGGTACATTTGTTTTTCAGTGTGCTGTGTCTGTGATCCCATGTATATTTTTTGCATTTTTGTGAAGTTCCATCTATATTCTATCAATTGTTGTAACTAAAGAGTTATCATCCATTTTACTGTGGGCAACAAACTGGATACCAAGATCTCTGTTTAAAAAAAATTGGAATTTTACAAATTTTGAAGCAAACAGTATATCACAGAACATCACTATTTGCTTTCAGTGTTGAAAATACAACTTTCCGAAAATTCCACACCTGCAAGTAAAATGGAAGCATGGATTAAACTGAAGGAAAGGGAAATTTTTCAATTCAAAGGGGTGGGTTGCCATTTAGAAAAGTAAAATTAGTTTTTTTTTGTATAAAAATTACAAAGCATTCTTCTAAATGAAGGGGTATGATACTAATCTAGGAATAAGTTTTTTTATAGTTTTATTTGTTCTAGTTCATTTGCTATAAAATTATACCACATATAGTTTTCTTGGTTTGTCAGATATTAAAAATTTTATGCATGAATGCTTTTAAATTCCTTCAGACAGAATCTGGTTAAGTGATTTGTTGAAACAAGCAGTAAAAGAAATTGCACAAACATTCTACAGTTTGTGAAAGAAAATACAAGAAAACACCAGTTATTAAATGTGAAAATGTTTTCATTTCTTAATTTGGGGGACATATGTTAAAGTACTTTTTTTTTCATTTCCAGTACAGGCTAATGGGTTCAAGGGAAGGACATGGGGCTCAGTTGTTGATCAACAGAAGAAAAGTGAAAACCAAAGAGACACTTTCCTTACTAATGATTACTTAGAAAATTCAGTGATTTCTTCAACTGAACTAGGAAAGGCAAACTGTGGATTCTGTGGATCAACTGGGGATGTTTGTGTTATGGATGGTGAGATGGATTCTATTTCTGTAGTACTTTATGTAGCAAATAAAAGTTAATATGCATACAATGTGAATTATTGAAACTAGTTGACATTGACACAGCCTTTAAGTATTTGTGTCAAACACATAAAATATTAAGTAGCAATTTCTGATAATAAGAAAATGGGGTTAAAAATAGAGTCAAAGTATACTTTTGTATCTAATATATGAAATCAATTTAAATTTAAGTATTAGTACCCTTAGCACCTAGTTGGAGGCAGTTCTGGCAGTGAATCACTTCTTCTTTCTAAAAATTAGACATTTAACTTTTTACAGAAAGAAAAAAGACTAACTGCAATCAAGAAGCAGTTAAATCCAGAAAATGTTTTTTTTCTCTAGAAATGTCCTTTGTTTGTTTACTAATGGCTGTTAAGTGTTTATTAGACTTACCTAAATATCATATTTCTACGTCTAATGCTAAAAAGGAAATGTGAGACACAAGAAAACAGACGGAGGTGCATGTTATATAGTGAAACAATTTAAGTAAATTAGAAGTACTAACTGGTGGAAGTTTATTTCAAAGTATACACTCATATGCCATTCTGAGTCCATGAAAAATACTTTGTGAATAATTTTTATATTAAACAAACAAACAAGATCTAATAGTGAACAAAAGTTCATCAAATTATTTTATCCATTTTTTACAACTGTCTGTGACAAGTTGTACTAATTATAAGTATGCTGCTGACCTGAAAGTATATAGTAGAGAGGTTTCTTAATGATATGTAATGTGGGTATGAAAGTCTCCTTGTATTTATAAATGTTTATACTTAGAATATTTATTTTTTCTCTCACCATTTTCATCCTGGCATGGCCTCGTTTTTAGGGTGTGCTTGACTCTCAATCTGTGGGTCTCAAGTTTGAATCCCTAACACACTGAACCTGCTTGCCCTTTCAGCTGTGTGGACATTACAATGTGACAGTCAATCCCACTATTCATTGATAAAAGTGTAGCCCAAGAGTTGGCAGTGGGTGTTGTTTATGGCTTGCACAGATAGCCCTCATGTAGCTTTGCATGAAATTTCAAAACAAACCTCATTATTTTCAGTTATTGATGCATGTTGCAAGGATAATAACTTTTATTTGTCTAATGAAAGAACTAGACATTTGAAAATTGAATTTTTTCAAGAGTATGTTATTTTATTATTCAAAACATTGCCTTATATTTTATAAAAAATTTCTATAGCATCTTAAAGATTGCAAGACAGTAAAGAAATCTGGTAATTTTATTTTAAAACTACAATCAAGAGAACCATTGTTAATAGTGGTTTTCTTCAAATTGTAAAAGAAATAAATACATCTAGTTAGAAGATAAAAAATAACACCAAATCAGTAACAAATTGTACACCCAGAAAAAACTTAAGTTTCAGAATCTTTGCAGGAGGTTGTTGAAACTTTGGATGAACTGTAAGTGTGGTTCTAATGTCAAAAAAACATACTAATTTAGTTATGTCAGAACAATGTATATTAAAAAGTAAAAAAGTTTTCCGAACAGTTTGTTTTTTGCAGGATTCTATTACTGTGGGAAATTAAAAATCACAGGAGTGTTAAGAAAAGTCAAAATTCGCAATACTAATGCTCAGCATTGGTTGAGTTTCTCAATAGAAAGCCAAAAGAAATTCTTCAAATAGCATACCATTCCTGATTTTTGAGGGTAAAAATTGCTTTCAAATTTAATGTTGAATCTTGACTACCACAGATTTGTTGGTCATCTGTCTTGTGTTTGCCATTTTGTATTTCCCTCCAGAACCCCCTCTTCCCGAGTTCACATATGCAAGAGATGCATCATTGTACTTCTGAAACAAATACATATAAATATATATTACTGCACTATAATTTTGGTTTTAAAAGTGGAAAGTACTATTTCTGTAGCTAGAGCATGAGGATCATTCTGTCTAGAATTAAAAAAGAAATTCAAGACTGCTATAGTTACTGTTGATTACACAAGTAAATCATTGAAAATAAGTTTCAGTAAGGCTGCAATGCGAAGGGACTTGTTCCTATGTAAAATTATGCTTTTGAAATGGTACAGTGTTATAAAAAAAGACTTCAATGTAATATCTAAATTTTGTTATTTTTAACTAAATCATAGCAGCTCCTAGAATGATTGAGGTTTTTTCAGGTACAAACTTTTAGCTCATAGCTTGGTCATCTCTTGACTGACTTAAGATATAATTACAGTTTTGTATTCAGGAGGTCAAACTCTTTCAATTGATGTATTTTACCACGCCCAAGGTCTCATAGGTTAATTTAATGTAATCCTGCCTAAAAGAATTTCAGTTTGAGGATAGGCTGATAGAGATCCTGATGAGTAATAAAATCAAATTGGTATTGCTGGCACACAAAAATATAGCTAATAAAAAGGTCTCAAAGATTAATTTTCTCCAATCCTGCCTAACAAAATTCAAGTGCTGTGGCTATTGAGGTTCCCATCTTGTTTAATGATGTTATTTTTTTAGAATTTGTTGCTAAAGATCAGTGAAACATAAGATCATTATACTGAACATGTCTGGATAGAGAGAAAGTATATTTAAGTTCAGTCTCTTTTTTTTCTATATTTTGCAATAAACTGTTTGGGTTTTAACAAAAGTGAAGTTTAGAAGTCTTGTAAAGTCCATATTTTTAAAAATGTAGCTGGTTAAAAATATGTATGTTGTTCATTCTTTAAATAATGTACACATCAACAGTTCTACAAAAAAGGAGTTTCTTTAATAATAATAATAAATAATAATTAATAGCATGTACATTTCAAATGAGTGGCCATAAGTTCTGTTGTCAAAAACTTCAAATCATTTGCTGTAGTTTTATGATAAGAATGTGTAATTTGTGAAGTTATAGTACTAAGAATACTATATTGCTCAGTAAATTTTAGCTTCATGGTGATTCAACATTTTTGAGCTTTCCTAAATACTACTGTTTCAGAAACATCCCAAGAAGAGGACAGTGCAAAGCAATTTCCACTACAATGTAGAGTTCAAGAAGGTGACAGTGAAAGTGTTGTTGCCATGAACTGCACTCAAGGACTGTGGCTGCAGATAAGTCATCATGTATCATCCTTGTTTGGAAAGATTTCTAAGAAAACTAATGAAACAGATCACTGTAAAGTAAAGTCATGTAGGAGCAATAAAAATGCATTGTACAAACAGCAGCATTGTAAGTTACTTTTCATTAGGTGCATGTAATTTTGAAAATATTTTTTGTACTTATGTACCTTATATCACTTTCCCAAATTGATGTGTATTAAATAAAAAGGAAAACAAATAGCATATCTTAGTTATCCTCAGCTTAGTAACAATTTTCTAGAATTTTAATATTGTCTCTGGGCTTTAAACATAATCCTTTTTGCAAACTCAAGATGTATTTTTGAAATTTAAGATCTTTTGGGGTTGATGATGGCATTGCTTTTAACAATATGGTCACTTGCAGTCAAACAATTTTCACTACTATAATGAAGAACTCTAATCACTTAAACCTTTTGCAATGAGGTGGTCAAAGTGTGCATGTCACAACTTTTTACTGAGTTACATTCAAAATTTAATTAAACCACTTTATTATCTTAGTATCATAAGGAATATAATAATCCAAATTTTAATATTAGACAAGTTTTAAGCTCGTAATTTTATAATACAATATAAAAAAAGAAATTATTCACCACCCCTCTGAAGAGTATGTAATTTAACATAAATTACTTATTATAATATTGTTATTACTCATGCAAAGCATACCTTTTATAGCCTTCAATCGTATTTGGTTACAGGGTCATAAACTAGAAAATCAAACCCCTCTTGCCACACCCATCTGTCACATCCTGTTTTTCACAAATTGCCAATAGTTCTCTCTGATGTTTATTACTATATTATTTATGTCAATAGAAAGTCAAAGATTTATTCTATTAACTGACATATTTATTACATTTTTTTTATGTACAGAGAATTGTCCATTTCGCTTCTAGTTCAAACTTTTTTCCAATGGGAAATGCATTGATGAGCTTTGCTGAATTTTTAACAGCTCTTATTGCATAGTTAGAAAGCCAGAAAACTTGTGATAGTTATAAGACATTGTCTGCTTTTTAAATGTTATTATTCTGTGTTCTTAGGTGCAGTATTTAATTACATAAAAAAATTATTTTGTATTGTGGTATCATTAGTATAAAAAAAAGTAGGCTTAAGTTTCATCAACAGTTGAGGAAAAAAAATAAAACCAAGGTAAGTATTATATTTCTTGTTTTTCATACATATTCTTTATTCATTATTATAAAAGTAAGTAAAATGTAAATGTTAAAAACTTATTAGGTTAGGTAAGGATAGATTAGGTAATATAAAGAAAAAATAAATAAATAAAAATCCTTCATAAGGTATGCCCCTGAGTAGTGCATGTGTTATGTAATTCAATAGGGTAACGTGAGCCACACACTGAGTGATTTACAACTTCTGTAGCAGGATTATTAGTTAGACACAGTTCAAAAGGCAATAAAACAATAAAATTAAGTATAAATAGATGTATACTGTTACATGATTTAAGCTATTCAGGGATAAACAGTTGTGGTTTCCTGTTACAATTTGCCGTCATTCCATAAAGAGAAACGAGTAATTTATGATTATTTCCTAATTTTTTATGGTGGTTAGGAGGTTGGTCAAACTGAGTTATAGTATTAAAAATAACAGATAAAATGTAAAGTTCTTTTGCAAAAAGAATTGTTTACTTAAGAGATTATATGGATTATGCAAATGAAATTTGACAATTTTCAGATGAAGAAAAGTGTTTTTAATCGTAACATGAAAATTACTTTCCACTCGGAACAGTCAACACTGACACCATATGATTGTGGACATAGTTAGTTTTAGTAAAAATACTTAATTAAAAATTCTGATTTTTTGCTTACAAAAGATTTAATGTTTACTGATAACTTGCCAAATTTCATGAAGATACATTGAGTACTTTCAGACTCATAGTATGTGTACCACCATTGTTACATGGTTGTTAAAAGGTTGTGTCAAATATACAAGCCCATTGTGATGGGGTTAAGTATTATTTTTCTATTAACTTCTTTTTCCAACTCTTGTGGTATTCTAAGTGGTAGTATAAATATTCAAATTACTTGATTTACTAGCAGAAAGGGGTAATTGGAAGATAAATTTCAAATAGGTTTTGCTAAAAAACAAATTTTGTTTAATTACATTTGTCATAAGAAACTGGTATTAGGCCTATTACCTTTTTAAACACTACATTCTTTATCTAGTCCATTGATTTTAAGAAATTGAAGAAAGAATGTATAATAATTGTTTTGCAACCACACTATATTTGTTATATTCATTGTTGATGACACATTTTGCTCAATCCAAAGTTTTCAAGCCAGCTGGGATACAACAAACACAGCAGTGGTTCAACACTATTTATATAAGCCATTATATATGACAACAATTTTTATTGTGTGAATGCCTCTTTTTTACAAACTGTCAAGGCATAATTATAATAATTAATTAATTATTCTTGTCATAAAATATAACCAGTGATTTGATACAATTTTCAGAATTGATCTTCTCCAGCCCAGAGTCAACTGACAAGCTCTGTAACATGCAAAAAACAACCTTGATATCTCGTTACATATTCAAAGTTTTTTAACAGTCTATTCCTCTAGAGGTGTACTAACATTTGGTGGCAAGTGTTAATAAAAGAGTCTTAAATTGTATTGAACCACCTCAAATGTAATCTTAGCAGTGTCATATTCTCAGGTGAACTAATTTTATGCATAGTAAATGGATAGTGCCTGCAAAAACAGAATATGGGTTTGTATTTCCCTGACCCTGAAGAAAAGAAAACAGCAGTACACAAAAATGCAGATCAAAATCCTTATTCAAGCAAAATCAAAATTTAAGTTAAAATAAATGAAGAAGTGTTTCAATGTGTGCTGTGAGGAACTGTTTAGACACCTTTTTTAAGCCTCTTTCAACAGTTCATTTGTGAACAAAGAAATATAAATTAATGAAGCATAAAAAGGTGGAACAAAACATTAATATTCAAAATTGAGTATTAAACAGAAACAAATCTACATTAAACTAAGCACTGTAAAAACTACCTTGAAGCAGCAAAACTTATCTGTATGCCTCGCTACTGTCTAACCAACTAATTCAAACAATGTATTGATTTATTACACTTCAAAACCACGAACTCTTTCCTACTCTTAAAGGCAAAAAACAAAAAAAGAAACATCACACAGTATAGATAAAACTCTCTAGGTGCATGCACTACCTACATTACATGTCTGAGGTCTACTCTTAAATCTATAAGGGATATGTCAAAACCCTCAAAACATCACCCTGTTTATTACAAGAAACAATCACTGAAGCCTATAATGTTCTTCCAGCTACTGTAATTCATTCTAATGGGGAGCACATGATACCCTTGGAGACTCGCTCAGTTCAGTGAACAACTAAATACAAGAGAAATTTTGAATCTTTCTTGACTGGTGTTATATACTTAAACCAACACAAAATATACAGATATTTTGAAAAAATATTTAGTAACTGAGGGGGGCAAAAAAGGAGTGAGAATACTTTTGTTAACTTTAACAGTATGTTATATGTGCTGTTTGAATACCTTTGGTAACACAGTTTATTTGAACAGTATGTCTTGATTCTAGAGAATATAGATCTTTCAGAATTCTGTAATAAACATCATTTTTAATCTGAATAATATGCATCCAAAATAGATTAATTTGAGTTCTTACAATATTTAAACATATTTTTCTTCTTTAGTGTCATCACCTCAGCTTGTTGCAGCAGGTAGCACAAATTGTACATACCAATTCTACACCTACCATGGCCAATCAGTAAAACAGAGGCCAAAAATTGATTATCAGACTGAATTATCAATGCCTGCTACAGAAGTAACTCTTCCTGTTGAACAGCCTTTTCTGGATTTTGAGTCAAACCATAAATCCAACTCTACTCCATCAAATTTAAACTCTTTGTCAAATGGTGGAGACACATCTTTAGTAACATCTCAACTTGAAAACTTGGAAGTTAGGCTTAACAATGTTGCAGAACTGTCAGATCAATGCCACAGAGACAGAAAAGATGGTATTGAAGGCTACATTGAAAAAGTTAATCCTCTTTATGAAAGTCTTAACCTGTTACCTGATTGTGCATATGGTAAAGATCAACAGGAAAAACAAACTTATGATGCAGCAAATTTAGCTTTGAGTTCCAACCATCTTTCTTCAAAAATTAGCTGTGAAGAACAGCATTTATATTCTTGTGTGCCAGTAGCAGAAGACAGATGTACGTTGAGGTCTGATTTTGTTACCTATCAGCCATCTATAATCACTACTTCCAATCCCTTCAAACAGAAAGAACCTCTTATAAGTGTTTCAGACTACATTAGTTGGAACAGAGTAACCAGACCTAGTAATTATCATCTGATTCCTCAGGACATTCCATTTGAGAATGTTCCAGCACAACCAAGATATCCCTATGATTTGTAGCCTAAAAATACAATACATGGGTTACAAACAAGCTATGTTCCTATGATCTTTACAAAATGTTATATAGGTAAAAAAAAAAAATAAACTGATTTACTAAACATTCCTTCTGGCAAAACTGAGGATTTGTGTTGGTAAGTGTTTTGTAAATTTATTTCATAAGTGTACATATGAGTATACATCACATGGGGAATGTATAGTGAAGAATATGTTTCTATAAAAATTAAGTTTTATGGTAAAGTTGCTAAAAATTATATCTGTTAAAATTTCTATTTTCCATCCAATGTTTTAAATATTTATATATATAAATTTGCTCTTTGCTACTTTTGACAAAAATTTATTTCAAATTTGTAATGAATTTTAACATATATATTTAAGTAACATGAAGTTGCCTTACAAAAATGTAATTTACTGCATATTACATTCTTGTCCAAAAAAGCTAATACAGTGGCTTTTTACAGCTTTTGATTTGCTAGTATGTGTAAATTTGACAATTTATAAATGTACTATACTTTTATTTTGGGTTTCTGTGTTAATTATTCCCAGCATATTTTGTACACAATTCTGTACTTCATGAAGAGTTAGTGATTATTTTGAT